ATGGAGGTATTGGTTCAAAAGATTGTTTGTTTAGACTCATTGAACTGTATCATGCAGGTGAATGCCTTTTGTCATTCTTTGTGGAAATTGCTCCTTCATGTTTTCGCTTCCATATTGTTGTAAACTGTACTTGTTCTTTGTTGTTTTTCTCAATCTTCCATTTCCTTCTCACAACTTTTGTGCGGCAACCTTTTTCCGCAAAAACTATCCAAGGATTTCCGCAGTTGATTTGTATAATAAATAGGTTGCACAAACGAGCCACTTCCAAAAGAAAACAAAACAAATGCGAAAACGAGCAAGATGGCAGAGGCATACAGATCCCCTCATCCAACAAGCCTGGTTACCTTGCCTCCTGGGAAATGTGACTTTTTCGTGTTGTTTGATTATGTGGTAAGCATATCTTTTAGAGCAAAAATTTGTTTGAGATAGAACTAACCTTATGCCAAAAAAACCACACACATCAGCCTTTCGTAAAAATTAATGCTCATTTGCAAGAATAATTTCTATGAATGAAAGTATTTAAGTTAACAGAAATTTTAACTAACCATGTCAGGTTACTTGGGCACATTTTTAGTAACCAAACATTGGAAACTACTACCATTGGTTAACGGGTTACCGTTAATTTCGAGCCCTGGAAAACAGCCGACTGTTTGCAATGCCACCTCTGGTTTCCCCACAAAATGACATGAGAGGGATGAATGTTGAAGTTCCATACTAATGACATGTCAAAACCCAGATCTGGGTTCTGCTAATTCTGATTAGTTGAAGCAAATTATTTTCAACCAGTTAGAAGCACTTACCAGGTGTGGTTAGGTATGGAATCTCTGTGCTCATTCCTCCAAGGTTTTTTTTGAGGGAAACCAGTCGTGGCTCTTGAAATATCAGTTGTTTTCTCAAGCTACCAGGCAAGAAAAGTCAAACCATCTATCATATTTTCTGTTAGGTACATGAACAGCTAAAACTTGAGCAAGAGAAAAGAAGCCGATTTGGTGATGATCGAGAGGAGAGCCTTGTGAAGGAAAGTGAATCCAGGGAAGCCTCTTATCTACATAAGATAACAGACTTGGAAAGTGATCTGCGGCAAGCCAGAAAAGCTGAAAGAGAGACACTCATTGAAAATGAACGTCTAAGTAACCAGATGTCAAACTATGTGAAAGACATAGAACAGCTTATTCACAGTAAGAAAGTGCTAAGAGATGAAATTAGGGAGCTCAAATACCGAGAATCAAAGCATATACAAGAATTCAGTGAGCTTGAGGAAGAAAATATCAATCTTCAAAAACAGTACTCTTCCCTACGATCTTCACTGGTAGAATTTGAGTCCTTAAAAGTTGAAAATAAGAGTTTGACTGATGAAATGGATGCCATTCAGTTACAGTTGCAGGTTGCTTGTGATAAAAGAGATCAGTGCCAGAAACAGCTTAATGAAGCTCTGGAGTCATTGAAAGAACAACGAGATCGCAACACAGTTCTTCAGAAAGAGTTACAGGAAAGCCATCAACGGCAATCACCCACACTGAACAGCTGGCAGGAAGAGAGTCGCTTTATTGACTTGGAAAGTCCAGAGAAAACCAAGCCTCAACAAGTTGTGGAGCACCCATTGATTCAAAAGATTATTGATGAATATAAACCTGTCCCAGGTCTTGTGGAAGATCTGATGAAGGAGCTTCAACTCTCAGAGGTCAAAGAAATGGCTCACAAATTGGACCAGTTGAGTAGCGAGAAAAATGAACTTACAAATGCACTGGCTAAACGAGAAAAAGATGTTTTGAAGCTAAAGGAGGAGTTTGATGCCATGCAGACTTTGACAGAGGCAAAAATGCTCTGTGAAACTCTAGATGACAGTGATGATGCTTCAGAGGAAAAGGAATCGACCAGTCTTAAGTTGAACAACCAGCTAAAGGAGCTTGAAGAACTAAAAAAAGTGTTGAAAGGTTATCAGACAAAGGACAACAAATCACAGGCCTTGATTAAGGAACTACAAACTGAAATTGACAACTTAAGGCTAAAAATAGTTGGCATGCAAACAAAAGCAGATGAGGCCTCATTCTTGACAAAGAGGGTGAAAGATTTAGAAGAAGAGCTCTTGACTTTGAAAAACAAAGGGATTGAATCAGAGGAATTGATTAAAAATCTCCAGGAAGATATAAAGTCCATGAGTGAATTGGCAGGAAATGCACAAGGCAGTCTCAACTGTACTCAAGATGAGCTGAAATATGTCAGTGAAGATCTTCAGAGGCTGTACAATCACGTATGTTCTGCTAATGGCGATCATCCAACTAACTCATTCTCAAGGAGAGAAAAGCAAGATAAATCAAAGATGGATGAAAATATTAACACAAGTCCTGTGAAATCCAGTGACACCCAAAAAAGTGCTGCTGAAGTCCGTCAGTCCCCAATGGGCAGTGAGAACCCAAATGAAACAGTGGAAAGAGGTGATCCTTATTCCTGTTACAGATTAATAAGTTCTGTGCGAGATCAAGTGAAGTTCTTGAGACAAGCTGTGGAGAAGACAGTTGAGATTTCCAAACAACGTGCATCAGAATATAGGGTATTACTGAGTGATGATGAAACAAGTGGAGGTGAGGAAGGTGAAGCACAGAAACAACAAATTATAAAGCTCCAAAGCCTTTTGACAACTAAGCGAGAACAGATTACAACTCTGCGTACTGTTCTAAAAGCTAATAAGTCCACATATGAAGTAGCTTTGGCAAATCTTAAGAGTCGTTATGAGAATGACAAGGCAGTTCAGGCAGAAACAGTTGCTCAACTGAAGCGGAGCCTCAAGGCTTTGAAGGCTGAGGTTTCTACATTTGCATCACTCCGTGGGATGTATGCTGCAAGGTGTGAAGAATATTTGGTGCAAGTTGATGAGTTGCAACGTAAATTTGCAGCATCAGAGGAGGAAAAGAAAACTCTTAATCATCTTCTCAAACAAGCAATTCACCAGAAAATAGACCTGACTCAGAGACTCGAAGAGTTTGAGATTGCACGTGAAAGGCTGCGCGCTTACACAAGAAAGGGAGGAAAATCTAACCGAGCAAAACCAGTCACACGTGTATAACTTATTTGTCACCAAGAGACCTTCCAGAACTGCAAAATTTAGAATTCAGCTGCTTCAAATGAAGCTCTTTGATTTGTGCTTTTTAGAGTTGTTAGAGTAAGCAATGAGTTTGCCAAAAGGGTTTTAATTTCTAAAAAATGATATTTTTATGTGCCAGAAGATTTCAAAACAAAATATTTTATCACTGCGAGTTGGTTCTTCAAATGGCTGACTGTTACTATTATCAAAATTTCAGAAAATGTAAGGAGCTATATTTTTAATAATTTTAGTATTTTATGCTCTGCCCGGTGAATGTAAACATTATAGCCTGTTTTATTCGATTTGTGGGTGGTAAAGTTACACAATTATCGAAATGGTAAAATGGAATGTACTGGTAATTTTCTGTGGAAAAGAATCATTGTAGACAGTTTATTCTGTTATTCAAAGTATCAATACATCTTTTAATGTGGTTCTTAACCTTATTATGCAGGCCATTGATGATCAATGGATTTTAATGGGTATTTGAAAAATAAACACTTGCTAAAAATATTGCAAAATTCAAATTATGAGAGAAATTAAATTGTTTTTACACCTAATTGCAATAATATTGTCACAGAAAAATGAAAAACAAAGGAATTAACAAGGGTGATATTTAAGTCATTATAAATAAGGCATGCTCACCTCATTCAGGAATCTGGTCTCACGAAAATAATGAAGCAGAAAACATCTTTACAGTGGGCAATATACCTTCTTTCAACTCAACTGACATCAAAATGAAGTATTATATTCTCCTTCAAAAGTGTTTTCAAGATTATCAAAATGTAATTTGTATGGCTAATTAATTCCTATTTGCCCTATTTGTTTTTTGCTCTTTTGTGTGACAACATGTTTGCAATTAGATGTATATTCAGCAAATAATATAAAAATTTGGAAAGAGTATTTTGTCAAGATATCCAAGCCTCAAGAAGTGAAGTAAGAAAATGTGGTGTACTTGAGTTTTCTTTGACTGGCTTCAGGATGTTTGAAAATCTGACAATAAAAATGTTTGAGTGAACAACTTTGAGGAAGAGTTGTATGTTTTTTGGCATTATTCAAGTCAAGGCTCAACCAAGGTTGATGAAAAATCCGGCTTTGCAACTTAACTTAATTGCCTCAATTAACATTGTTAACAGCGTTTCAAGGATTCATACATTGTAAAATGGGCAGATCAAAAAATGACAAATCTACCAGAGAAGTGCCACAACAAAACTATTAAATGAAATCATTCATATTGTTATTTGTTGTTTCTTTTAATGTTTTATTTCTTTCAAATTTTCCATCCATTATATATAGTTTTCAAAAAGGACCTGTGAACAAAATTATTAATATCCCAAAAATTTATAGATTAATACATTCATTATATTCACAATAAACCAGGGAGATCAACATCCAGCCTGTTCAGTATAAGTACTGCCATGTTCAACTCTACTGGTAGTTTTCCATAGGCCAACCACATTGATCCTCCTCTGTGAGAAATTTTCTACTGAGTGTTTTCTTGTCTGCTTGTGTTCCTAGTGACTCATAATAATTGTTGATGAAATGCTCCCTTCTTTCCTGATAAACAGAAATTGCCCTGTTTTAGCTGCCGTGACTGAATGCAGATAAATCAAAGCACACTGTTTGGATTAGTCCACAAACTCTTTGTTAGAAGACCCTGAACAGTACTTTAATTTCTACAGCTAGCCTGCATGGCAGGCACCCTCTATCCCCAACCCCCTCCCTTTTCCTTTCTGTCCAATCCCCTACACCTTTTGATGTCTGCTAGGCAGGCTGAGACTAGCCCCATAGTTTCCTGTTTTCTTATACACTAATACACATGTGAATAGCAACAGTTCTCTAATACCACAATTTTGTGGTCTAAAATAAAGTTGGGCTGGGGCAACTTCTTAAGCAACAAGTGTTGAATGGCATTAATCTTTCATTTCACACTACTGATTGAATTATTTAAACATGCCTGTTGGATGTCAATCTGAGGTCTAATTGGAGAAAGCTCTGGAATACTGTGTTCTCTATGCTGTTTTGCCAGAACACCCTGTACTTTAGAATTCTTATGACCAGCATGACCTTTTTTCCAAGAAGAACTTGCCTCAGTACCACCTAAACAGTACAAATAGCATATATTGGTGTACAGAAAGGGGTGGTGCTGTATAAGAGAAGCAGTCTGTCATTTTTCTAGGAACTGATATTGGTCATCAACTACTGTCAACAAAGTTATCAGCAATCCATGCTGTATTCCCACCTGTTTTCTCTTCACTTCTGTGTGCTGACATAATAACTTCCAATGAGAAAAGATCCTGGCTTCTTGCCTTTATCTTCTTCACTTCCCTTGGTGCAGTGGATCTGACATTGTTTTTTTGTTGCCGTTTTCTTTCAAAAAATTCCTATTTGGTGAAAATTAATGAAAAACAACATCATCTGTAAAAAGTAAAAATATGTAAAAACAGGACAGTGTCTTTTTGAGCTGGGTGAAAGAGAATTGATTCACACTCATAAAATGTTGAGGGCATTCTTAGAAGTTCTCATACAAGTAACCCCAACATTTTTACGGGGCAATCCTCCCACAAGTTTTTTTTTTCTAACCCCCAGGAAGTACAAACACTGAGTATGATATTTTCATGGCCGATATTTTTATGAGTATTAACTTTCTTCACCTTTTGCAACTTGTTCTCATGTTTAAGCTTCAGCCGGTTCCTGTGAAAGGAATATAAGCTTATTTATAGACTTATAATTAAAGTTATATAGATAATTCAGCCATAAATATGGTTTGGATGAATCAGGGACTGGAGAGAGACAGTTATGAAACAACTCAAGATGTAAAGCTGTTACTGATATTTTTCTTGGTCAGCTGGGGAGTTTCCCAGGAAAAGATTTTTTTTTTCAAAATACATTTTACACTAATTTTGGCCCAAAAAAACCGCTGGACGTCCACAGCAAGTTTCAAAATTTAGTTTCACTTTTCATAAGAATGACCTAGGAGTCTTAAAGATCGTTTAAAGTGGAGGCGAAAAACTTAAGCAGTTATCACCAAAGAAGTTTTCTTTAACGGCCCCATTCAAAAGGATAAACCCTTTTTTAATAAACGAAAGTAACCGTTGGGGTTTTCACCCCAGTGCCTCTTGTGGTCGATCTGCACAGAATTTTTATAAGCGCAAAATATATACCGTCTGCTACGTGCGTAGTAAATCACTATATGAAAAGTGCAAATTTCCAGGTCGACGTTTCGAAGAATTCTTTTTTGATTTTCTGCACGTTTTTGGAGGTTCCTTAGTATTTTTTTTTCGCGTAAAGTCAAACTTACCGCGCTCCTCCCACCCAGTTCATCTTTTTGTTCATCGACTGTGCAGTGGTAGCCTTCCTGTAGCCTGCATGACAGGCGCTTTATGAGCCACGCGGGGCGAACGCGATATTTCGCGCGGATCGCGACACGAGCGCGAAGCGCGAGACGAGGGAAAGAGAAAAGCTTTATTTTTCTCTTTCCCTCGTCTCGCGCTTCGCGCTCGTGTCGCGCTCCGCGCGAAATATCGCGTTCGCCCCGCTTGGCTCATAAAGCGCCTGTCACGCAGGCTAGCCTTCCTGCAACGCAGGGGTTTTTACGGGACCCGAGAAACGCCTGTGTGGGCCCCTGTGTGGGAGGTTAGTGCTAATGCCTTGTGCAGTGATAACTGGACGCAGTACGCATAATGTTCTTTAAATGAAGTAGTAATCGGAGGTTCAGATGAGGCTGCACATGGAAAATTATTTTTGAAGAATGGGTTCGTCGCAAAATATATATTTTTTATTATTGTAAAAGTTCTTATCGTGTGAACGAGAAAGAGGAAGGTGAGAACTTTTATAATTTGCATGAGGATGTGGATTTACATATTTATTAGCCCAGTGGGCATGCGTAGTCCCCACGGTTTTCAGCGTCAGTGAGTCACTGTTTATAATTCTGATGTCCTATGGTGGCAAGAGAGTTTGAGATGCTTTACTCTGCAAATCAAGTTGATTAATTGCCCGGGAATGTCTAGCCTCCCTAACTTACGGAATTCTTTGCCCCGTAAAGGAAAACACTGGTCGTACAATGTTCTTGAATGCGTGATCCAGCGAGGACCTCGGAATGGGAACTTTAATCTTCATATCGTTGGAGGAGCCGAGAATGGGGAGTTTATTTGTATTGGAGACGTTAAACAGGAAAAATTGCGGTACAGAAGGGGAAAGATTCTCCCAGGAGATGTAGTATTGGAAATAAATGGGACACCAGTCGCTGGGTATACTCAATTTGATGTCTTGCCTTTGATCAAAAGTTCGAGAGAAGCAGTTACTCTACGAACCGTAAAACCAGGTACGATAAAGTGTTTGCGTTAACTGTCGTAAGTTAACTGCATAATACTATACAAGTATCAGCCACGACTATGATAAATTCAGCTTGTGTATATCACTGGCCGTAATTTATGTAGCGGTTTTAAATGCTGGAAACACTTAGACAAACTTATGTAAAAAAATAAATAAATAATTGGAATGCCAGTTTAAATATCTTGCTGATTGAATGATTCACGCGACAGGAATGCCGTGAATATTGATTTTATCTGAATTTTACACCAGTTTGCATCTTTTAGTCGAAAATAGCAGAGCCTATATAGTGTAAATCTGTCATTTCGCAGTTAATAACTACCTTCAAAATTTTATTGGGCTTATATGATCATAAGCCATCATAAGGTGATTTCAAATTTCTGGGGGATTAATTGGGCCTGATATAATTTGGGTCATTGAAGTTGTTTCTAATCTTATCCAAGATGATACATATTGTATTCTTGTAAAGGATGGTGAGTTTAAATCCAACGGATGTTATATAGTGGTATCATTCAATGACCTTGAATAGCAATTTCCACTTTTTGATCATAAAATAAATTCAGCATTTTTGGCCCCTTTCAAAATTTAGAGCATCATGTGATAATAATGTTTAATTTATTTTTGAGTTATGATATTGCTAGCAATCCTCCAAATCCTGCCTTAAAACATTTTTGAATATTAATTCCTTAGCCACCCATCCTTAATACACTGTACATTATAATATACGAGTTCTCTCTGCAAAATTTGTAGTGTTGTTTGCTAATCAGTTTATTTTTACTTACTGAAAGTACATCATACATGCTTAAAAATACATGTATTAGCTCATCTGGAATAACTTTTGAAATAGTTCTCAGTTTCTCATGGAAGTGGCTCATGACCTAAGAATGCAACAGACTGGACGATGACTAATGAACACGTCCATCAGTTGGCTAAACTTCTGATCTTACACATATATGCCATTTGAGATGCTAAAAAAATTGTCTGTTTAACTGTTTGTTTACTTAGAACAGTAAAAAAGTGTAATGTAAACACTTTAACCTATAATCAACTAAGTCTGTGTTTGTACTAAAACAGGAGTATAGAATGCCTTACAACATAATTTGTTGATCTGCCTGTGCACGTGGCAGGTGGTCATGATAATAAGGTACATGATATTATATTGATCATGACCACAAAAATTATTAGTATTCTGTGCTGGCAAGAGCGTAAGAGTGGGTTGCCACTATTTTAACAATTATTGAATACATCTATTTTTAATACTTGCCTTGGATAACATCAAGGAAATAAATTTTTGTTGGACTCTAAAACAAAATTTAATGTTCCTCTTGATGAAATGCCTTCCTTAAAGATCTTTTTCTGTACTTGCAGGGGAACATATCACCAGAGACCTTCAAAAGTACCTGTCAACAAGGTTTGACAAGGATTCAGTTGATAGCAACTTACAGCAAACTATCAGAGATAATCTTTATAACAGAACAATACCATGTAAGTTTATTAAACGTTTTATTTATTCATCCTGGTGAAGTACAATATTATAAATAGTAATTATGAATAATTATCACTAAATGATGTACATTAAGTCATTTGTGATTTAGATCAGAATATTTCAACTGTCATGAATCATGTTGTAAGGCAGGATGCTTCACCGTGAATGGTTAGTTTTCAACAGGACAGCTGTGATTGGTGCATTTTGAACCTCACTGTTTCAATGAGTTGTTCCCTTACTGGGGTGATGTCATACAGCTCTCCTCTTTGTAATGTGTCTCTTGATTTATTTTTTGGGTATCTGTACATGTTTTGTGCCCCTTTTGAATTTCTTAGGGTGAAGTCTTATGTAAATTGCCTTTTTGATAGTATGTGATTCACTGTACCCTGACCTCTGCTATCTCAGAACCAGTTGCCACCCCATCAGACATCACCCACTTTGTAATGAAGTAAAGTTTAGTTAATGGCGTGCGACTCTAATTGGTAAACACACAGCCCTGGTCTAAAAGGTGATTCACATAAGTCTTAACCTTGACAACATCAACAAGGATACACAAGAACAGAAATTCCACAATTACAAAACACAACAACAGGTGAGCTACATGACAATGAACAGTCCAAGGAACAACTCACTGAAATGGCAAAAATTGAAATGTACCAATCACAGCTTTTGAAGACTAAGGCATTCCTTTATCACTCTTCTCAATCTCCCTCTATTTGTTTTTATGGCTTGGTCAATTTGTTGTCTGTATTGTACTATCTGAATGCCTGGAATAGGCTAAACTGGACATAAAGCAAGATGTCAGTAGTAAAGACATTAAAGTTAAAAATTCAATCCATCATCAAGCTAATATTATTTTGTAGGTTAGGTTTTTAAAGGTTGGGAATTAAGAGCCAGCAGAAGAGTGAAATTGTAAATCGATATTGCCATTTTACCAAATACTGATTTCTTAAAAATTTTAATGAAATGCACTCTTCTCATTTCTCCCATGTACAGTGTACTTGTGATTGAAATACTGTGAATGATTTTGTTTGTCACTGATTTTCCACTTTTTAAAAGGTACGACACGGAAACCAAGGAATGATGAAATACCAGGTGAAGATTATGTCTTCCTTACTGTTGAGGAGTTTGAAGAACTGGAGAGAAGTGGGGCTTTGCTGGAGAGTGGAATTTATGGAGGAAACCACTATGGTACTCCAAAACCACCAAGAGAACCACTTCCACCAGACAACCTGATATATGTACCACCTAGGAACTCAAGTTCATTGCAGAATGATCGAGAAAGTAATCACTTTGATGATACACTACCAGAGCCAGAAAACTTAGGACAACTACCATCAAACTGGGAGATTGCCTACACTGAAGATAATGTCAAGTATTTTATTGAGTAAGTTGTATAATAAAGCATGATTGGTGTGAAGGTGCAAAATATGTCCCATGTCCCATTTTCTTGTCCCAGAATAGCAAATTATTATAATTGTTCATTTTTTCCTTTCAATTTGTTTAAGAGCTGTTATGTTTGTTTCTCAAAGTGGCACCCTAGAATTTATAAAGTGTTACAGGTCAAAATTTATATTATTTCATGTTAAAGTTTTTAACCTACAATCACAGACAAAATTAGTTGGGAAGGTTGTACAACTTAACAGTAGTCCGTTTTAATCCTGAAAAAACAGAGTTTTCTCTTTTGCTAAATATCCCCCGTCCCCCCTATTCAATGTTGGGATATAACAGAACAATTGCGCGCACAAACATTAACGTTTTGATCAACATTGGGCCAGGGGTGGGGGGAGGAAGAAAAAGAAGAGGTAAAAAAAGGCAACCTTCCCAACACTTTTGACGATGATTGTAGGAGAATAGGAAATCAACTTTAAACGCATATAAAACTTGTCGCATTTAACATTTGGTTGAGATATCTCGCCCTGGAACTGTGCTGATAATGCACTTTCCAAACTATATAAAAAATATAATAAAGGTTATATTTCGGTAAAATCATAAATACATGTAGGAGAATTTTGCATCTGACGTGCGTGACATTTCATAGCGTGACCACAAAATCCACTGGGTGAAAACGCTTTCTTCTAAGAACGCCAGAAGAAAACATTTAAGGCCTTTAATTTTCCTCATGAAGCAAGAGGACGTTTCCTTCGCGTGGACTATGTAGAAGGAATGGCCACAGCTGGTCTGTTTCACCAGATTTAGCGAGAAGTCATGAGGGTATTTTTAAGTAAGAAAATACTGTACGATTGCTGTCGTTGTCATGTATACATGCATCTTTTTCATCAGCGGCATTATTCCTGGTTAACTTTTGTTGTTTCCTATCAGCCAAATATTTTGAAAGATGTTACAAATACAAATGGCATAAAGGCTGCCACAATAAAGTTTTTTTTTTTCATTCCGGCGGTGTTAAACTATCCTAGAAAAACATGAAATTTGTAGTTGTGAGGGAGGAGTGAGATAAGTGCTGAATGAAAATCTTCTAGACTTTATTTTCGTAAGGCCTGAAAGTAATACGGAACCTCTATAAAAGAAATTATTCAGCCATGTTCAGAGTTTATATAAAAATTGCTGTGCTAGCGTCGCCTGTCAATCATTCAGATAATTTGAGAACAGTAAACAACATGGGTTTCCACATTACTCCACCACATTACTCCATAAGAAAATGCGAAATATATGCACAATGAACCAACTTTCAAACAAGAAAAGGGCAAAAACATGTAAACCATGTAAGAATATGGACAGCTTTTGTCGCATTTATCTACGGGGATAAATTTAACAACTGTTTCCCAACATTACTCCATTTAAACAGTGCCCCATAAAGGTCAATTAGCAAAGTTAGTTTAATTTTAACGCTATCCATGGAGTAATGTCGTATTTTACTTAGAATTAAGCTAAACTGTCTATTAAAATTCGTTTGGTTAAGTCCTTGCAAAGCCCCGAACAAGTCCATTAGGCTATCTTGTCGTTAGCGCTACTATAAAGGAATTATTTTCGGCTACGAAAATGGAGTAATGTGGTGTGTAATGACTTTGCGTGTGTTATCCTTTTTAATTAGGTTAACGAAGACAATAGACGCCTTAATCTAAATCAAGAGCGTACTATGTTCTCGTTTTCTGAAACCAGTTTCGAAAAGCAGTGCCACAAGGGCTTAACTAGAGTTATTCAGCTAGAGAAAGTAGCCTCTAGAATTCAGCAAATTTCCACTCAGCCTCATAGTTTGCTCGCGTGGCAAATGGGCATGTGCTGAATGTTGTAAAGAATGGGGGAGCTGCTAAGGAATATGTCAGCTGCATATATGTAGCGATCCGAATGATTTTTTGGGGAACTGGTGAACGCACTATATCTTGCTTTAACATTTAAAGCATATCAGCCTATGCTATAGTCAATAGCTTTCACCGAAAATAATCTTGCACTTGTATTTTGGCCCTCTTCCTGTGCCCCATAAAGAGCAATAGTTGTGCTTACCGGGTTGCAAAACATGCCGAATATAAACAGGCGTGTGCCCCAAAAATTGTCTTAACAAGGTACGGCAAATATTTTTTTTCAACAGAGTACTGTTTACGAGTGTTTTTTGAAGACGTTTCTACTGACAAAAAGTCGTCGATTTTTGACCTTTTACTGCCACACCCAGAATTTTCAGACAATCACAGACAAAATTAGTTGGGAAGGTTGTACAACTTAACAGTAGTCCGTTTTAATCCTGAAAAAACAGAGTTTTCTCTTTTGCTAAATATCCCCCGTCCCCCCTATTCAATGTTGGGATATAACAGAACAATTGCGCGCACAAACATTAACGTTTTGATCAACATTGGGCCAGGGGTGGGGGGAGGAAGAAAAAGAAGAGGTAAAAAAAGGCAACCTTCCCAACACTTTTGACGATGATTGTAGGTTGATTGACTATTTTCCAATTGCCCATAATACACTCTGTTTGCCCCCCAAATTTTGCATAACTTATTGTCTTAAAATGCTCTTGGGAAAATGCAATACTCCCAGGAGCATTTAAAAACAATGGTTTATGCAGAATTTGGGGGGCAAACAGAGTGTATTATGGGCAATTGGAAAATAGAGAATTCTCGATTTTTTCTAGCTACCCTTAATTTATTATTCATGAATTTGGGCTAGGATCGAGAAAAAGAAAGTAAAAATTGAGAGTCAACCAAGGTTAAATCAGGGTGCAAAGAAAGTTGGTTTTACGGCTTGCCATTCAGGCAAGTTGTTGCTAGTATGTACATGTACTAGAATCTTTTAAGTAGCCCAAAAAAATTTTTGATGAGCAGTATTGATTACAGTTCTTCTGTAATTTGAATTTCCCAAAAAACTTCACTTGCCCTTCAGGCAAGGTTAAGAACAGGATTCACAGCCCAATTGCAAAATCCACTAGCCCCGGGATATTGGACACAACTTTCTTTGCACGTTGGTTAAATAAAACCTGAATTTCATTCTGACCTGTAACATAAGCACCAGGCCGATGATGATGATGAGCAGTATTGATTACAGTTCTTCTGTAATTTGAATTTCCCAAAAAACTTCACTTGCCCTTCAGGCAAGGTTAAGAACAGGATTCACAGCCCAATTGCAAAATCCACTAGCCCCGGGCTATTGGACACAACTTTCTTTGCACGTTGGTTAAATAAAACCTGAATTTCATTCTGACCTGTAACATAAGCACCAGGCCGAATAAAAAAGTGAAACATTTAAAAAGTACCCTGGTGTTAACTAAATGAGTATTGACATACAAAAAGGTAGTAACCACCCAATACTTTAGGTCGCCCTCTAAATGCAGTGTATCATTTTGCATTTTTAAATACTTAGATGTGTTTAATTTACTGGTAATGTTGTAATGTATGATTGTTGCCTCTGTTTCTAGCCATAACACTGGCACCACACAATGGATGGATCCAAGACTGGCGCAATTGAAAAAAGCTACAGTTGATGAATGCAATGATGATGGTAAAGGAACAAAATTCAAACTCCCACACACAGCCCGTTCGACGTACATTATGTACATTTTGTTTTTAAAAAAATAAGGGCAAAAATGTGAAGGCAAAATCAAAGTAGTGTTATTTTCCAACTTTCCAATAATAATAACCAATGAGACAAAAACTTACTGGTCAGAAAATATAGCTTTTATTTGAAGTTTTCCACATGGTTGTTTTATACTATGGAATCACTCCAGCTACTGTAAAATTGTATATAGTAATAATTGTTGTCATTTGTTTATGGCAGAGTTACCCTATGGCTGGGAAAGGATTGATGATCCTAAATACGGAACCTACTACATTGAGTAAGTACAAAATATAGACAAAACAGTACATTTTGACCGACTTTTCTTATTTTCAATGGTGCATGTTTTAATTTCTTTAAATAAGTTTAAATTACAATTTAGTATTAAAAGTTTATCACCACAAGTTTAGCAGACTTTTCCAGTCAGTGGACAACTACTTGTACTTCTCCATGTTCTCAAACTTTGTCCATAGCTTAATGCGTTAAACAGTTGTTTAAAGGTGTGATTGGTTTTTCCAGCAGTTCAGTTTTAAGGTGCCTTAACACAGTTTCTTTAGAACTAGCTGATTTAACCCTTTGCTGTGCATTTTAACATCCTTATCATGATGAAGTATGCACCCAATAAGGTTTTAAAAAAGTGCGAAGACACGCTAAGAAGAAGTTCAAAAGAAATTTGTTATGTTTTTGTCGTCTTTGACATCTCACATGACCTGTCTAAGGATGTACAGGTGCTATGCATGTATACTTAGGAAGCGATGTGAGAGTGCTTGTTTTGTTGACTTTCATAAGCAATATAAATAAACAACAATATCTTAAAATCTACTCATTGAAATTTGACAAAGTTTAGCAGAAATCATGTTCATAAATTTTACACTTAAGCCAATGAAAGCCTCAAAATAAATTTTGAATGATTGTGTTTTGTAACACAATCAAGAATTCCTTGAAAGCAGTTTTCTTAAAAATTTCAAAAACTGTTTGTTATAATTTGGTCAATTGGTTTCTGAAAAAAAATGATGGTTACTTATCGTAAGCTGTGTACAAATTGATAAGAATATCTAGTGACTGGATAAAGTTTTGCATAAACGAAGTAAATTCAAAATTTCAGGCTAATGCTTTCAATCATCCATGTTGCCATGACAATGATCTATATCTCACTTTTAACCTAATAAATGTCATGTCTTATAAATACAGTAGACTCCTGATAAGTTGAACCTTCAAGGGAAATCAAAAACATTTCAAGTTATCAGAAGTTGAAAGCAAATAACCAGATGTATGGAAATTGGATGGGGGAGGAATGCAAGTGTGACATACACACTTCACCTCAAGGGCAACAAGGGATATATCGATATTTTGAACAAGGAATTAAGCGACAAATCTTGATTAATCAGTACAGTGCTAAACATTGTATTAGAGTTGGACTGACAAAAAAGTAAAGAAGAATAAAGACAATTAAAGAATACACGATTGTTTTGAGAGAAATTCAATGGTACAGTTCTCTGCGTTTTTTCGACTTGTCACCCGCTCAAATCGTGGTTAGCGTTGTTGAGGGTAAAACTATAAAAATGACCAGAAGGGAAACAAGAATTGCTCTGAGTTAGCAGGAGGTTGGAGTTACCAAAGGTACAATGTACAGCAAATGTATGAAGGAAATCCAAGGGAAATCAAGTTTGGTTCGAGTTAGCATGAGGTTCAAGTTAGCGAGGGTTCGAGTTATCGGGAGTCGACTATAAAATTTATCTATGCCAAATGTGAGTTTGATACCTGCAACAAGTGTTAAGTAAAACCCTAATAACATTAATGGCAATGATCCACAGCCTATCAAACTGTGTTCAGCAGCCATAATAAACCTACCCAACCCCACTCCACCCTTTATTTCTCCTTTTGCTGGTAATGCCCATAACAGGTACCTGGAATGTTGGCTCATGGGTTGGAGGATTTGCTCATTATTGGAGCAGTATTCAATCTAGGGGGAGGGGGCTTCTGGCTGAACACAGTGAAAGCCCCCTGCGGGATATATACCCCAGGCACCCACCTTCACTCCTATGAGAAACTGAAAGGAAACTTAAATGACATTTCTTTAGATACAGTGTAAACACTGTGAAGCACTGAAAGAAAATTACCCTAATTTGTTTATTTGGCATTAATAATCACCTGATAGAGAGGAGAATTGTGATTTCACGTTTCCATGGTAGCAACATATTTCTGGATCACAACAATGGGGAGCTTAAGCAGCAACAACGGTGACCATGACAAGAATGGTGAAAAAGCAATCAGTTCATATTAGCAAAACTTTTTTGTACATTTCTCAGTCGCCTTTGCAAGTCTGCAACTTGAAACTTCCTAATTTCATGTGCCCGCTTTATTGAGTTGATGAACACGGCACAGGAATTTTCTTTTTCTTTATCTATATTCAGTCCTTTCGTATTCAACCCCAGACAATTTCGCCAAGATTTAACAAATTAAATGAAATTGAGTAAGATCAATGAAGTTTGAAACAGCGTGAATTCACTTTTTAAGTGACATTTTCGCTTTGTTGTCATCCAGAAATTTTGCCACCATGGCAATGTGACGTAACGACTTCTCCTCTCTATTAATATGTATTTTAAGCTATTAATTTGGTTGTTCCGTTAGTCATGTCAACAGGAAGACTCAGTTTGAAAATCCAGTGCAAGCACGTCGGCGTGTTAGTCAAACGAACAGCATATCATCATACTCCTCCTCAGTGCCACCTCCCCATGTGGGCCCACCATCTTTACAGTCAGCAGCTGCATTAGCTAAAGCACAGGAAGCTGAGGCCCAATCAAGGTGATATCTTTGATTAATAGAGTGTCATTTCTGTTTACTTTAAGTTAAGTGAGAGATTAATTTGACACTTACTTATGCCTGACACATGTAGCAGTTGAAGCAGTTCCTCTTTCTGCAAAAAGCAGAAAGAGGTTAAAAATGAAGAGAAAAATATTGATGGCCCACAAAAAAGCTAAAGTGAATGTAAACATAGATTGTTATTCATTAAATGAAAGGTCAGTGAAAAGTCAGGGAATTTTCAACTTTCAGGTGCATGAGTGGCAACCCTGTTATTATTTTTATTATTATTATCATTATTATATCATGGGTGACGAATTTTTCCAGTGTTAATTTCTAATTTCACATGTACAATTACAAAATTGCCGTGGTAATGTTTCGTACATCTCAGTGCCAAGATGGTGTCAAGAGTTTAAAACGTCAAAAACCCAAGATTGCATGTGGAATTTGAATTGTCAGCCATGATAGTAATAGGTAATCAAATGGTGTACAGTGGAACCTCGATTTAAACCTCTTTACAATTCAACCAAGTCCTCGGTATAACAGATGATTTTCTTCAGCCCTGCCAAAATTACAGAAAAATGTATGGAAAAGAAATGGTAGACTAATTGCAAGTTCATTATCAGCTTTCATTTTTGAAAATAGTTAATCCACAAGTTAGCCATGGGCACCCTTTGACTGAGTTTCTAGTGCCATACATGTAGCTATATAAAGCTGAGTACTGAGACATTGTTCAGATCTGGGAATGCTGGATTTTGTAAATTAATTTATTATACCTCGATATAACAGACATTTTTGTTGTTTTTTTGAAAATTCGTTAAATCAAGGTATTTGATATAACGAACCCTCTATATTAGAAAATGAACAAATTTCCCCAGTCTCTTGGCACGTACTTCATTAAATCGAGGTTCTATTGTACTCTTGAAATTAGGGAATAATTGTCCGAACCTTAATAAGGCTCGGAAAATTTTTAGAATTTAGACAAATTGGGCATGAAATCACTTCCTTATTTCACTCATCACCATTTTTTTGCACACATACTTATTCATTTTCAGACCTAGTGTTACAAAGCTACCAAATATGCTGCTTTTAATATTATTATTTTGTAAATAAGAATATTCTAGCAATTTGACCAGCTGTCATGTATTGCAATGGATTGAAGATTTGAAAATAAAACGAGACTTAAGAAATGATACAATTGGTTGCACTGTCAATATCGATATAACTGCTTGACAATTTGGGCAATATCACCTTTCATGTGAAATTTAAACATGGTATTATCTTGCCAAGTATTGAACATTTGCATGATAAGTATCAAATTATTTTGTAGCTTCCATCTTAAAAGTCTGGAAAGTTACATTTTGTTTTTCTGCTTTATTATTTGCAGATGGCCCAATGTAGAGTTTTCCCAGGCACCTCCCCCAGCCTACACTTTAAATAGCTATGACCACCTTTCAAGGTCTTACACCATTGATGGTAGACAGCTGCAAGGTGAACTGTTAAGAACAGAGCTTCACAAAGGCAAACGTGGGTTTGGCTTTACCATAGTTGGTGGAGATCAGGTTGGTGAGCTTCTACAGGTTAAAAGTATTGTTCCTGATGGCGCAGCAGCAAAAGATGGTCAGCTACGAACTGGAGATGCACTAGTCAGAGTTAATGGCATGTCCGTGTTATCCAAAAACCATCAAGATGTTGTCAGCATGTTCCAGGCCATGCCTATGGGCGAGTCTGTTGAGCTAGAAGTTATCAGAGGTTACCCTTTGCCTTTTGACCCCGATGATCCTAATGTGGAGACAATTGGCTCCTACACTGTGGTACAGCGTAGGCCATCTGCTGGCTCAGAATCACCCATGCCCCGATCTTCAGAAGAGAACAGTCCAACATTCCCACCCTATTCTACATCTCAAGTGCCAGGGATGATCAATAAATGGAGTACTGCTCCAGGTATTACACCTTTAACAGTTTACACTCACTTCTTCTTTGTTAGTACGTTGCTAAAATAGACACTCTCTTTATAAGCAGTAAAATTCCCTGTAACAAGGTCTGCTGAAAGTTGCTCATACTGGTACAAATCTCTCTATTATTGATATCAAACCTCACCTCTGATGATAACCTTGTTTCATTCGTAAAGACGTAGATCTTTATTTTAGAATTATTAACAACTGCAACTCCTAGTGGAGGTAGGTGCCTAGGATGTCCAGAGGCTTCCACTTTTGGCAAAGCCAGACCCCTGGACAGAGTTATGCCCCCATGGCTGGTAAACCCGTGCCCTTCAGCCGTGAGCCCTCACGCCATGCCAAAGGGACCTCCAAGCTGAGCACTAAGCTCCGAGAGAAGGGGCTCATGGCTGGGGGAGGCCTGAGCCCCTTCATGCCAATCCCAGAGGCACCTATGTATACTGAGCATGTTAAAAACATAGAATGGCTAAACAGAAGCCATGTGCCAAGAGGAGTATGCAGTTACACAAACAAACTTCAAATAATACACAAGATTTCAGAAGCAAAAACACAAGCCAATAAATGCCAAATGCTAGTTCACTGTATGCAAACAGGCAAACAGCCTTACTGAAACAAAAACCTGAGTATAAGAACTCAACACTAAGCAATGGTTACACTGTGCCAAAGGCAGTACCGACAGTTTAGCCATAAAGCCCCATAAACACTACAAAAACGTTCTGCCTTAATGGGCCAAAAATGCTACAAACCCTACAAATGCTTCAAACACCACAAGCATCCAATGATCCACCCCAATGCCCCATAAATGCTACAAATGCTGTAACCACCACAAATGTCCGACCCCAATGCTCTATAAATGCTACAAATGCTGTTAACACTGAAAGCGTCCAACCCCAACGCCCATAAACACTACAAGTGCTGTAACCACCATGGATGTCCAACTGCGATGCCTTGTACATGTAAGCACCGCAAACTAGTGCTGTAGCCACTGCAAACTTCCAGCCCCTATACACCCCATAAATGCTACAAATGCTGTAACCACCACGGCTGCCAACCCCAACGCCCCTTAAATGCTACTAAAGCTGTAACCACTGCACGATTTCAACCCTAACACCCCATAAGTGCCACAAAATGCTGCAACCACTACAAACATCCAGCTCCAACGCCCTATAAAGGCTGCACAAGGTGCAAACAATGCTACAACTGTACAGCACCCCAATGCCCCATAGGAAAACTACAAATGCTATAAAAAGACACTAAAAAAGCCAATACCAGTAGTTGAATGCTTACACGCAAACAAATGCTAAAAGATTCTGGAACTATTTACTTCAACTGCTAAAAGAAGTGTGGGTGCCTGTGGAATGTGGGCCTCCACTGTGGCCAGCCAGCCCCTAGATCCTCTCCAGTGGCTGCAGGCAAATCCCCACAACCCAGCCATGGCTCCCCTTTCCAGGCACCTGTCAGACTGAAGCATGATGAACCAGTGGAAAGAGACTGAGGATGAGGGGGATGGAATGCTAAAACAACCACTTCAAACCACTTCACACTAACGTAACCACTACAAAAACCTCTCAATTTGATTCTTGTGGCTGTGATGAAGCAACAATGATCCATGCAAATCACTCTTGCTAGGCTGACAACTTCAAACCTCTTCACACTAATGCAACTGCTACAAAAAACCGCTGAATTTGATCCTTGTGGATGTAATGGAGCAACAACTTTCCATGTGAACCTACACTTGAGAGTTAAGGTGATTCCCTGGTTTTGCACTTTGCATCTCTTACTGCGCATAACAAGATGGCCTCCGTAAAAATGAGCATGTGAAGTAACATTATTAAAATGAAGTTGACTGAGGAGAAATGCTATTACATTTTTTGTTTGCGGTTGTTTCTTGCCGAGGAGAGACTCAATTTGGTGGGAATGTGCATAACGTAAGCAGTTCGCGTGTTGCTGAGTTGGACTTCCTCCCGGAGAACCTCGATAGTGGATGTTTAATTTGTGCTTATTCACTTTGATTTTCATTTAAACGCTAATTTCTTTATCACATTGTGTCCTAAATGTGGTATCTCGATGTAAATTCCGTTAAAACGGATTTTTTAATACTTTCTTCCCCCTTTGGCATACATTTTATTTTGAAACTTGCCCCAGTCCTCTCTCAAAAATTAAGGAAAATGCATTTGGTGCGCACTTTCTGCAGCTCTACCGCAAAAACGAGTATGGTGACCCCCATTTTTTATTTCATGATTTTAATAAGGACAGTGCTTCCTTTTGGTGAGAAAAAAATTGGCACAAATCTATGTTCAGTTTTTTGGCAATTTTACTAAATTGTACGGATTTAGCTATCACGGGTCGAATAGCGCGTGTCCAATTTAATTCTACTTTGGAGCGTAAAGAAAAAACAAGGGCATTACAAGGCATTTTTCTGGTACGTAAGTGGATAAACAATACATTAAAGTCAAATTCTGTGTGATACCACATGCATCATTGAAAAAACCTTTCCTTTTTGTCTAGTTTTGGGCTGCACGCAGTTTTTGTCAAAGGGTCCAAAATAGCCGTATTTGTCAGCATTGTGACATCAAAACGAGCACAGTGACCCCCACTTTTTATTACCTTTTTATCATCTTCGACATCTTCTTGACTTGTTACATCAGTGTACCAAGTTTCATCTACAATCTATCGTTAGGTTCTTTTACTAGGGAATCACCTTAACCACTCGTGGAGAAAACCAGAAGAAACGATCACACAGAAACAAGGCGACCCTAATGCAATGGTGGAAAATTCCCAACCACACAACCACTGATCATGAGTGACAGCCAGCTTGAGACAAAAGCATGTAAACCCAAAAGTTGAAATCACAGCGTTACCCCACCTAAAACTTGAAAACCATAAGTGGATGTGAATGCTAAACCAAGCTATTGTAAGACCTTCAAACAATGAAATAGTTGATTAGAAGAAAACATGCAAGCAAAAAAAACGATGGCCAAACTCCAAGTCGAAAGTCAAATGTACATTCCGTTAAGACTGTTGGCCAAAGTTACGAGGTAACAACGATTGCACAGAAGCCAAGCATAGCCCAAGAATTATCCAAAGGCTAAACAAAGAGAATGGCAGCCAGGAAATGCTGTACCAAGTACATGGAGATGATGCAAGCAAGGCTGACTGCACTTGAGCCACCGTACTAACTGCTGACCAATGCCTGTGCTCCTGGCTGTTAACGGTGTTAAATTTCATTTAACTATAATTATAAAACAATGAAGAGCAATTCTGATTGGCTTTCATTTGATTATTGACTAGTGTACCTAATAAGTAAAATAGTGCTGTCCTGGTGTCAATTTGTATTGCCAAAATAGGTTTGCATTACTTTCGCATTCAGCTAATGCCCGCAATTAAAATACTTCATGTTTACTCTCGTTAAAAAGTCCTATTTCAGTCCAGCTGGGTTTAGTGTCCAGCATCTGAATATCTGACATTCTGCACTTGAATATCATTTAAAATACACTACATTTTCACTGGCACAAGGAACAGTACGAAACAGGCCGAGTGTGATTGTATTGTGAGGTCAAGACATTGTTTGCAAGGCATTGTGGAAAAAAAAGTGCATTGTGGTTAAAATCCAGATGCGTCATGGAAAGAATAAATCAAAAATATTTTTCCCTCTACGGATGGGGTCTGCTGCCTTGCACCTCACTTCAGGCTCGCTTGCAAGGCAGCAATAAAGATCACACAGTTGTGTTTATATGTGCAAACATTTAATGGTAGTTTCGAAAACGATGCACTCGAAAACGAAGACCGAAGCACGAAGCACCCAAATCTCAAAAACGAGGCACCCAAAACTCGAAAACGAAGCACCTAAATCTCGAAAACGAAAAGCACCTATTGTAAACGAAGCATCCAAATCTCGAAAACGAAGCACCCAAAAACTCGAAAACAAAGCCCCCTAAAAACTCGTAAACGAAGACCCCTAAACTTGAAACCGGTCTGTCCTTTATAAACACGAGGCAATCTCTTGCTAATACAGCAGGAATCAAGCACGATAACGTAAGAGTCTTACGCGCGAGCCTCACTCTCCGTTTTCAAACTCGTTTCAGACCTTTTGTGTTAGTGCTCGTGCATACTTAAATACATCAAAATACAGTCAGTTTTGAAGTCTAAATAAACATGTATGTGTACCCAAAAAAAATGCATATTAAGATAAGATGTATCAAGTATAGCAAGACTAATAATAAAATTAATACAGGATATCCTATCTAGAAACGTTCAGTTAAATAGTTTGCAGGCTTTTACAAAACCTTGGGATGGATTTTGTCGACCTTTGGAGGTGCGAACGCATCTGCTGCTTCCACCTGATACAGATTGCGCCATGCTAGACATAAAATTGTAGTTATTCAACCTACAGTGGTTTCGAGTTTTGGGTGCTTCATTTTCGAGTTTTGGGTACTTCCTTTTCGAGATTTGGGTGCTTCGTGCTTCGGTCTTCATTTTCGAGAGCTTTGTTTTCGAAACTACCAACATTTAACACCCATTCTAACGACTCCAAGTTTGACTTTACATCATTGAATCTCTTTTGTAGAAACCCTAGAAACTTCATTTGCTCCATCATCCTATCAATCAACTTTGCCTCGCACATCAACAACAAATTCCCTTCCACGCTCATATCCAGCTGAGATTCTGACCATCCCTGTCGTGAAGGGTCCCATGGGATTTGGCTTCACTATTGCAGACAGCCCATATGGTCAAAAGGTGAAGCAGATCCTAGATGCTCCTCGCTGTACAGGACTTCTCGAAGGTGACATCTTGATGGAAATTAATGGCCGAATGATCCGGAGTTGCACACACAATGAGGCTGTCAATATCCTCAAGGAATGTCCTAAAGGACAACAAGCACATATTGTTGTACAGAGAGGAGGTAGGCACTCTATATTTACAAAAGATCATACACACCTACGTAAAGGTTTTCACAGAAATATTTCATATAATGATCATTGCTCAGAGGCAGGTACAAAATTTATTCTACTGGTTAGTGTAGGGAACTTTTAACCTGAAAAGATCCTATTGGGCCAAAACCTTTCCCAAACCAAAACCAACAACCCAGGCCTTCTGAGATTGGTTTTCTTTGTCCACAGTAATTTATTAATGTCAAACCTTGGGGTCACTTTCTGAATACAAACCAGGAGACTCCTGACATATACAGAGTGATATACAATGTGTTTTCTGAAAAAAATAGCATTGCAAGCCATAACTTGAATGTGGGTAATGGAAGTATAAAAATTCCAAACTGAAAATGGTTATAGAAGTCATGTAAAATGTTTAAATTAACCTTGACCTTTGCTATCATTTATCTAACTCTAGGGTTGCCAACACCACTTAGAAACAGTCCCTTGTTTGCAAAGAAGGTAACTGAGTAGATTTAATAACTGTTTTTCTATAATGTAATTGTCCAAATTTATTTTGAGAGTAGCACATTTGTTCTTGTGACTGAGAACCTTTTCCCCTCAAACCCTTGACAAAAATAAAGAAAGTCTTGTCACTTATGCAGAACGTTATTTTCAAGTCGAGCACCATGCTTCCTTTTGTTCCTGGTGATACTTTTTAGGGTGAGTGACACTGTTCCCTTGACTTTTGCCTAATTTTGCCTTAATCGCACTCTCTTCTCATTGCTCTTTCTTTTGCTTATCTTCCCCATTCCGTTTTCTTTTGCTGGCATTTACTAGGCTTCATTTTGTCCAAGCTACAATTAGCGACAAAATGAGTTCAGACACTTCTCCCTAAACTGTGCTTTTTTACATTTTACTGACTTCAAAAGGAGGAAATATAGCTTTTCGTCCCCCATCCCCTTTATGCAATGTTGTGCCGATGTTCAAGCTACCTACAGAAAACAACAAACACCCCTACTTTGAATGGAGGGGGCAGGGGAGGGATGCGGATTCTTTTGTTCTCTGAAGTTACCCTATTTGAGTATAATGTCTCAACCATCTGTCGCTGATTGTCTGAATCACAAAAGTGGCCATACATCCCTAAGAAAATTAATTCAACTCCTTTCATTCAGGCTGGGGTGTAAGACCCCTGGTGGCTTTTTATTTGCTACGTTTGACTTCATCGTTCCTATTTTAGAACAATTAGAATACGGGCGATTTCGTTATTTTCAGTGCATGACACTTCGTGTCACATTAAACATGCCTTAACATCATGTGATGTGGCGAGTCGTGCACAATTTCTTTTTCTCTCCTTTATCGAAACAAAGAGCAAAGTGAAAAGGATAGAAAACTAAATAGATTTCTAGGCATTAAAGCAGTTATAATCACTAAAATTGCAGTTGAGGCCATGAGTAACTAGAGTAACCAAGATGAGCATAAAATGAAATAATTAGATTATCTTTTAAGAACAAAGTTGGTTACTTGTGGTTGCTCATGGCCAGTCCCCTCCAAACCTTATAGTTTGTACTGTTAATTACATTCTTCAAAGAATCTTGTAGGTATATGGGCAACGAATTTACTGCACAGATTTAATGATGCTATGCAGCTTTGTTGTGCATTAGAAGTCAGAACATTTTTCCTGAAAATTCTCGTGCACATAGCAATCGTGGCTGTTTTATTGTCGATCACACCCTTATTAAACTTCGCATAAACACTTCAAACTCACTAGGGACATATTCGAAAACAATATATTATCTGCCATCGATTCCTAATGACCACACTTAGTTACCAGAGGGAAATCAATCATTCGGTATGTGTGTATGCTGTGTAATTACTGGAAAACACTACCAAGTACAAAGACTGGCAAAACCAATTTTCCCTCGAAAAACACAGCAACGCGATGATATGGGTATTCTATCTATCTTCTTAAAAGCAACCTGGTGAATACAGTAATCTCAACTATTTTTTTTTTTCGTCTCTTTACTGGTGCTAATAGGACAACAGTGCGTAGATTTTGATTCAGACAATCGGCAACAAAATGAGTTCGAGCTACCTACAGAAAACAACAAACACCCCATGAATGGAGGGGGCAGGGGAGGATTGCGGATTCTTTTGTTCTCTGAAGTAACCCTATTTGAATACAATGTCTCAACTATTTTGTCACCTTATATTATTGTAGCGCTCGAACAAACTAAGTTATTAGGCTTCATTTTGGGGGTAAAAGTTTCCACAAATACTTTGAGGGTTGTGAAATTATTTTTTGAAGGAAGTATAGGTGGGAATTGTGACAAGATTGTTCAATTTCTGGTTCAATAAATACTTTTATTATTTTAAATGTTTTTCTCCGGCCTTTTCACAAAATCATTTTTATTCAGGTATGGTTTGAAAGATTCCACAGTGTGCAGAAATCAGTCACACTCTGAAAGTTGTCTATGACCATTTAAAGAAATGAAATCAATAGTGGTATGAGAAACAAGGATCCAAAAAGGGGATGTGAGTGGTTAAGTAGGGAATGGGTCAAGAATGAAACAATACAGAAAAAAAACGGATGAATAATTTTATTTCAAATTTAATAGGATTTGGAACCCATTGCCCCACGTGTAGCACGACCCAAGTCCACCCCTATCATGGGCTCAAACCATGTTGGGTATGGTCAGGTGGATCATGGAAGCACTGGTAACTTAGCAACTGCTGGAGAGAGTACAAGAAACCAAGAAACTGGATATGAGAACAGAAAAATAGCACAGCCCATGCTGGACAAAAACTCTGAGGCATTGTTCAATTCATATCCATCACTGAGGAAAGCTGTTGCTAATGCTGCTAGAAGGTTTGATTTTATTTTTTCTTCAGTTGTTAAATCGCTTCCTACTCGGTGTAAACAGGACAACATGACTTTCTTTGAGAGATCGATGCCCACCATTTTAGAGGGTCTGTCATGAAGAGGTGTGAACCTGGCAGGGGTGTCCTCTTTACGGGGGTCTCTGTCATACAGATGTCTATACCTGACAAAAGTGTCCACCTTGCAGGAGACGTCTACCACACAGAGGTGTGCACCTGGCAGAGGTGTCTGTCAAACAAATAAATATTGTACGGGTGTTCTTCAAAGAGATGTGTGTGCCTGACAGAGATATCCACGTTCGCGCGTTGTCTATTATATTGAGTTGTACACCTGACAGGAGTGTCCACCTTTAAAGGGTTTCTGTCATACAGATACACTGTATTTGCACCTGGCAAAGGTGTGAACATTACGGGGGTGTTTACCATACAGATTTTGTGCTTCAGGGAGAGGTGTGTCAATCATACAGATCAATCTGTGAGTGGTGAACCTGACAGAGGTGTCCATCTTGCAGGGGTGTCTATCAAACAGAATTGTACACCTGACAGAGATGTCCACCTTCCAGATTGATTTGTACATCTGATAGGAGTGTCCATTTTTAAAAGGTGGCTGAAATACAGTTGTTCACCTAACAGGGTGTGAACCTTTCAGGGGTGTCATATCAGTCATGTGCACTTGACTGCAGAGGTGCCTATCATACAGAGTTGTGCCCCTTCGGGGGTGTGAATGTGGAAGGGATGTCCACCTTGCAGGAGTGTTTGACAAACCTGATGCCAGAGTCCACCTAAGAAGGTTGTTCGCCTTACAGGCTTGGATACCCATCTCACTAGGAATGTCTATTCTTAAGAAGTTTTGACTCCAACTAGTTGGCTATTGAAACCTTGCTGTTTGATCTGCTAGATTCAGATTCTTAAACTCTTAAATTTTATATGCAAGTGTTGTGACAGTAATGGCATTAGCTTGACCTTGTAGCATGCATTGTTTCTTACTTTTCCTTTATTATTATTCTTCAGATCAATGGAAAACTTGGCAGCTCCTGATACACCACCTCCCCCAGCCAGTCCAGATGCTAAAAACTTTACTGTTAATCTTAAGAGGGGAGATATGGGATTTGGTTTCCGGATTATTGGTGGTCAGGAAGAAAATACGCAGGTATCAGAAATTAATGTTATCTGCAAGCCATTTTCCAGCGATGGCTTATTAGAGAAGGGGAGGACTTATTTTAAACTGGAGTGGGAAACCCTCGCTGACACATCTTATTTTAGAAGCGGTAATACTGAAAAGTACAAAATTGTAATATTCTCTGCCAACTTTAGTGGTTATACAAACTCGTCCTTTCAGTTATGTGTCCTAACATCAAACCATCAAACCTCGAACTCGAGAGGAGTGATGAGGTGACAAAAACTAAATGCGTGAAATTATGGGATAGGTTGGCATATCGAGAAAAAACCAGTTGAGAAATGTACCCTTGCTAAAATGAGCTTGCTAGTACAAATTGGTGGAGAGATAAAAGCACCGTTATTCTCCGTGGACTTTTAAGGGATTTGTGTGGAGTCGGTAGAACATAATTATGCTTATATCTCCCCTTTAATTCTCTGTTTTCACTGTCATACCATTACCCTGCGAGCAGAGGTTTTTCTCTTGCATGGCTTTTAGCGTTTACGAACGTAAACAAACCAACTACACGACTGTCAAGTCACGCGAGCGACTTTGTAAACGCTAATAATTGGAAACCACTCAATACAGAAAGTCCAGAATCTGGGAAATGAAGGAAGATAAATAAGCAAAAGCCTCGCTAAAAATCAGGTCTGTTCGACATGACATGCGAGATATTCGGGAAAAATGTTTTACCCAAATTTACAAAGCTTTGTATGGAGACGCCATGTTGGTTTCCCATTTGAGGGCCACAAATATGGCGGCCAAAAACCAACGAAACATCTGTCTTTGAGTTTTCCTAAAAAACCGTCGATTTATCACTTGAGGAACACATAAAGGTTAAGCAACGTTTATTCTGGGTCAAGGTAAGAAATGTTTAGATGGCAAAATCTCAAAAAATCGCTAACGTTTTTAACCAACATGAGAGCTTTCCCTGGCGCCAGCTAAAATGCCGCGTCACGCAAAAGCTTGGAAATTCAAGCGTCCTTTATAGGAAAACGTAAAACCCTTTCGAACAGAAAATTAATGAAGGTGTTTAGCAGCTGTAATACCCCATAAAAGTAGAAACTCTGAAGAATAGATAACTCCTTAGTTTGAATTTTAGTGACGTCATGTGAAAACCGAGAATTTGCACTAACGGGCTGATTTTTGGCTGGGGAGTATTTTCATCTTATTCTTTCTGAGTATGCTAACCAATCCCATAATTTCACAATTTTAATTTTTTTTGTGACGCCACACTTCTCTCCTCTATCATTGTTTATTATGGTAGTTCCCTCATACAAAAACCACTAATAAGGGTGTGTGTAGGCTTCTAATTGTGTTTTTTGGAATCAGGTGGCTATAGGTACAATTGTCAGGGGTGGACCTGCGGATGTGAGTGGGCAGTTACAGAGGGGAGATGAGATTCACTATGTTGATGGCATCAGTGTGATAGGCTCAACTCACCGCCGTGTTATATCGCTCATGGGTAATGCTGCTCTTACTGGTGAGGTCACTCTTGGTATTCACAGAGACCCAGCTAAAGTAGCAAGTAAGTCAATAAAGTTCTGAATCAGTGCTTCCCCTTAACTTTGTCATGCAATCTGGGCAAATTCAGTAATCAGGGACTAGCATAAAATGAAACATGAAAAAAAGTGAAGGAACCTTTAAATAACACAGCCAGGCGCGGATCCACAACAGTTTCCGCCGATTCACGAAAATCGGGCAGATTTTTTATAAATTAATATATTTTTAATGAAAAAAAAATTAAAATTAAAATCTCGCCAATATCCTCCCTGAATGACTCAGAAACCCAAGAAAGGTGACTTAAGGGGGTTGAAATCAAAAATATTTTAGTGGGGTGCATCCCCCCGGACCTGTCTAGAAGCTTGCGCCCTCGACGCTCGTTTAGGAAATCGATCAGTATTTATCCCCAGGCTAGATCCGCGCCTGACAGCAAATGTGAAAAAAGGCACGGATGGACAAAACTGAAGAAGATTCAAATGGAATACAAATAAGGCAAATGAACGTTAATTAAAGTGAGACTATAAGAACCGCTCAATGCAAAATATATTAACTAATGCCATTTATACGGGGAAAATAAGACGCATCTGGCGTCGTGTTCTCCTTAGAGAAATCGTAACACCATAGTTCTAACTATGTTGGCACTTACTCCGGGCAAACAGGAGCAGTAGTTGTCATGGTTTCTTGATTTTGTCGTACAGAAATGATAGTGTTAATTGTATACATATTATATTGTATTATTAAAACAGAGATGAATCCGAGCATGCGCCGTTCATACTCAGCGTCATCTGATCTTGGTCCCGAAGCTGCTTTAGGAGGAATCAAAGCCAAGGAGGCGTCTAAATCCACCGGCAACCTGCAACAATATGGCAGAAAATCATTCAACGACCCTGAAGAAACGTCTTCTGTTCGAAGTTATCATTCAGAAATGCTTCCCTCCGATGTGAGGTCACAGAGTCAAAGGAATAGACGACTTAGTGAAGGTGATGTAAATGGTGAACCCAAGGGCCCAGTCTCCTACCGTGATATTACTCTAGAACGAGAGGAAAACGAGTCTTTTGGTTTTGTAATCTTCTCTTCGGTACACAAGAGCGGTTCGACAATAGGTAAGAATTCATGAGGTTGATTGATTATAGTTATTTGTTTTTGTCACTTTACAGGTTGTAGAATTTGTGACGGGGAAGCCTGAACTGGAAGCCTGGGGGCTTATATGGGTTGCACGGTCCAGGAGCAATTTGAGTAGACATAGCTTTAGAGGAAAGACACGAATTTACAAACTCAACTATAATATAAACTAAGATACAGGAAAAAAATAGAATAATACAAATTAAATTACTTAAAAGATTAGATCGAATAAGATGATACTAGCGTAAGGTGGACAGGTCATTGTACTTTACTCGCTCAGCCTACAAACTGAATTACGTTTCGTTCATTTTGGCTGAACGTTATTTTGTAAAGAGTTGTAAAATCCTTTAACCGGGCTCGTGAAAGTCCTGAAATTTACCTGTTACACACAAATCCTAAGAGCCAACTCCATGGTTAACTATTAACTTTTGTCAGTGAACAAGAGGTAGACAAATGCACCCCCTGAATCGGTAGAGGAGAAGTGAAAAAAGACTGCTAACTAGGCCACTTGATGAGGAGGGAGTATAGACCGTTTTCACTCACGTGATCAGCAGCTATTCAAATTTCTTGAAGCGAAGGAAAGGTTGATATGAGGAAAGAATTCAGTATTTTTTTGGTACACCAACATGGCCGCCATTTCATTGTTTTGTACACCAATATGCCTGTCGTGATGTCCTGTGAAACGATCTATAAGTTTACCGCTATCCCTGTCACGTAATTCTTATTTTAGTAACGCAACCTTCTCCATTACAGGACGTATTATTCAAGGCAGTCCAGCCGACCGATGCCGCCAGCTTCATGTAGGCGATCGACTCGTGGCCGTGAATGACGTCAGCATTGTAGGAGTTCACCATAGTGACATAGTGGATACCATTAAACGGTCTGGAAGAACCGTTACGCTCAGAATCGCTCAACAGCGCCCATTGGGTAAATATAAAAGTACATTTGTTGTTTAAGATGACAAAGTCTTACTTGAGTGTTGAAATTCCAGTTTCCTATAGTTGCCATGTCTAAATACCGAATGCTGCTAAACATAGAATTAACTTGCTTATTTACACGAAGATGAAAAAACGAATTTTATTCGCTTGTCAATGTAATTAGCACGAGTGCTATTTGCACTTGCACTAATTATGCTAATGGTATAATTTTACGAAAAGTCTTTAACCCTAAGCTGTTGTTAACTTAAGCCTATCTTTTTTTTTCTTTGATTTTTTTTGCCTAGATAACTTTGAAACAAAGAAATTATCTCGAATGGTAAGTCAACTGGCGGCACTCTCTCATGTCATTAAATTTGATTAAAAGGTATTTTACGTCGATAACTCGTGACAGTAATTTAACAGATAAACTTAGGTGGACGTTGCGCTCATTTTACCATCAATGCACCGTTTTAAGGGTATTTAAAGCTACTTATAGTTACACAAATAGGAGAGAAGTCTTGAAACAAGGATGTGATGTCATCGAGAATCGAACTTGGGACCTCGCGCATGCACCGAAAGCCGCTCACTAACCAGCCGTGCCAACCTTGCTCCTAATTATATTTTTTGCTTTTGTTGTTTGTTTTTTTTTTTGCTGATGTTAAGCTACGGCAAAAGGGCAACAAAATCATGCAACTTGTTTTTCGACATTGCTGCTGCGCGATGTTGCGCGTTTTAACACCCACTTTCAAACCTTTCTTGCAAGACATAAAGGTTGCTGCAAGTTGCATTAATACTGACTTCTGATTGGATAAAATTACGCGGAGTCACGCCATACAGGGAAGTTATGTCACTTTCTGCAAAACAAGTTTGCCTTGGGGCTGTAAAATGCGAAACATGTACAAATTTTGTTGCAAAAAGTAAAACTACTCTCTACTTTCTGTAGCAACTTTTTGGCAACCTGTAACCTGATTTGTTGCAAAACAGCTTTGCACGTGGGTGGTAAAACTCGCAAAATCGCTTTTCAACTCATTTTTCAGCAATTTTGCAAAGAAAATTGCCCTTCTTGGTCGCCTGTTTTCCCGCACCTTTATGTCAAATTGCAACCTGTTTCTTGTTGTTTTCCTTAGAGTGCTCCAGACATCTCTAGAATGGGTAGTGATACATACCCCAGAAGAGACGCTGACCAGCGAAGTTGGGATAATGCATATCCGGAACAGGTATGACTTATTGTTTCTAATGGACTCTCATTTTCTTTCCTATGCGCCGCGAAAGTAACCGAAATCAAGATCAAACATAACTCCTCTGCTTCCAAACAAATTCAATATTCTTCTTCTCTTCTCTCACCCTTCAAGAAGTTGTTTTTTGTTTTATTGTATAGACGTGTGCGTAATATTGCATTTAATTCTTACTCGTTATCCGTTTCTGTCGAATTTAGTCAAAATATTCATAAGCATTTTTACTTACTATAAGGGCAGACTAAATTCAGTTTATTCCGTTGTGCTTGGTGGCTTGTTGCGCACGCGATCATCGTTTCTTCTTTGTTACCAGACTGTTGCCGACCGTGCAAAGGAGGAGCCACGTTATGTAGCAACCCTTCCCAGAATGCATCACAGCTACAACTCACAACCACCGCCTAAAGTACCGCCTCGAGTCGCCCCCAAGCCTTCCAGAGAAAAAGTGCTTAAGGCAAAAGAAGACAAGAGAAGGCAAGAAAATGATTTTCATGTAGCCAGAAATGACATGCGCAGACGATCAAACCCTGAAATACCATCAAGACCACCCCTACCTTCGCAGGATTACACGGGTAATGTGAGAGATGAGCGAATTTCTTTTAATCAGACAATGGTTGTAGAACTGGATCGAGATAGAGAGACTGGGTACGGATTTAGTATCAGAGGAGGAAGAGAGCTGAATTTACCTATATTTGTTCTGCGCATGGCTGATGGAGGTGCAGCACAGAGGGATGGCAGGCTCAGGGTAAGGATTGTAGGGGTTCTTGTTGTCATTAGTTATATAATATTTAGAGTTGTATTTCATCACTTTACTGATTTATTGGGTCCATTTGTCTAATGTCTGTCGTGTTTAATTTTTTTCCGTCCTGTGTCTTCCTTTTGCTGGTTCATTATTTTATATATACTTTAAGGTGGCTCGACACAACAGTTTTGTAGCGACACCTTCTATCCTTGAATATCTCACACTTAAACAAATTTATCTTTATGGTAAGACCATTATAACACATGGATTACACACCGACAGGACTAAACTTTATTATGATTTTATTTTTTGGGCGATCGGAGTAAATATCATTAAGTATGACGTCACGATAGTTTTAGCTTTAAGTCGAATTTCAGCCCTCATCGACCTGAACTTTGGAAATGCTTTACGCTGCGCATATTTTGGGTGCTTATCTTCCGGTATGAGAAGGTTCTCAGAGATCTATGAGAGGAATTTAGAGATATCTTGGAATTTCTTCAAAAAGGGTATAGATTATGCATGAACTGACAAATTTGCTACTTTTTGGATGTTTCCGGGAAAGGTTTTATCACTCATTCATTTTGCAAATGACCCTTATATACAATCGGCTAAACGCAAGTAGACTTGCGCAATTTTCGAAAAACATGCAAACATGTGAATGTCAGTTGTTCAAACGCGATGCTGAGCTCTTTTTGTAATTTCTAAGGCTACTTTCACGAAAACAGCGATTAAACCAAAATTCGACGTTAGATTTTCTTTATAGAATTTGAGTGCTGCGATTGATCGTTGTACTATGAAATGCCCGATTTTCGTGTCCATTGAAACATTTGAAGTTGCCTAATGTGGCCGCAAAATTTAGGAAATATTAAAGCGATGTGATGGATTTGGATAATTTTTTGCTTTGGGATTTCCTATTGTCTCGAGTTTAGCACAACATGAAATTCCCATGCAGCACGCGAAAAGGTACCGCGCCTGCTTGTCCTCCGTAATCTATTCACTCGTGTTTTCTCCCTTTCTTCAACATTACCATATTTCGGGAAGATTACGGATGGCAACCAAGTGCTTATTTTTATTATTCTTCATAATCCGAACTTTTCATGGTCTCTGTGCATTTACCACTTGTTTCCGTAGGTAGGAGACGAGATCTTAGAGATCAATGGTAGGAGTACAGAGGATATTCCTCACGCGGATGCCATAGCTTTGATAAAGAGTGGTGGCAGCAGAGTGCGTCTTCTCATTCACAGAGACGATAAACCAGCCTACCTTGGTCAGTGTGTTTTTATTTCTGTGTGATTTTTTATTAGTTATGCAATCTCCACAAGAAGTGATCAGTTTGTTTGAAGGTTAATCTCAACATTGACCGACCTAAGCCTTTTTTTAGCCTAATTTAAGAAACTGACCGTGCTAGACAGAAAGAAAATGATACTTATGGCCCATGTTTCTGCCACTAGTTTCTAAAGCAGCCTTCTATGTCACAATTTTATAGCTACAGTCGTACCTCCATTTACGGCCACCTCTCCACAACGGCCAAGTTTCTACATCGGTCACTTTTTTCGGCGGACAGTCCATACATTGACTCTTGTTTAAACCCCTCTACAAGGGCCACTTTCTTCTGTCCCTAAGGTGGCCGAGAGGTTCAACTGCATTACTGAAACACTAAAATTACATTGGAATCGAAGAAAGCCTCGAAAGTATAGATCAGTTTTATGTTAAAATATTCTGCCAGGATGGAAACATGCTGCAACTTGAAACAATTGCTTAAATTTCTTTGTTTTTGTAAGAACAAAAAACTTCTCATGCCCTTTCTTTGATAGAGTTCCAAGTATTTTACACAAGATGACTCAGAATGCTTGGTTATAATTTCAGATCTGCTGTGACTAAAAAATTTTTGAACTCACCAAGAAAGTTATTAATTTTATGATGCACACCTGGGGACCACAAACGAGGATATTGCTCGTGCTTTTAAAAGGTCAATCGACCCTTCCACGTGTTCCATTTACACTGTTGGAAGAGCGAGTGAATGGAGTCTAAACCCCCATAGCAAATGGACGCAACAATGTTGGATGTTAATGTTGCGTCCGCTTCCACACCCTGTTGCATATCGTGGCATGTTGTTGCGTATTGTTGGGAGTTGTTGCGCAAAGTTTGAAACCAGTCAAAGTTTTGAGCCAAAACTCTTAACATTTCTTTTGTTCTGTGATCGCCGAAGCGTAGCGGAACAATGTTGGATCCGTTTCCATAGCTCTTCCAACATTGTTGGGGCCACTCACGCGCATTAAACATGGTTTACAAAGTCTTATGGGTTATATCCTTCCCACGATGCACTGCAAGTCCCAATATTGTTGGGAGTTGATGGATCCGTTTGCACACCCCAGTCAACAATGTTGTAAGTCGTTTGGATTATTTTTGCAGACGGGATCCCTAACGGAGGTCACACTATTGCTAAAGGAGGAAGCTTACCTCGTCAAAGCTGGAAAAATCCCCCCTACTATGACATGTACCAGTCATAAAACCGTAGAACAGTAACTGAAGAGGTTTGAAATTTATTCTTGTAAAATATCGAAAAATTTGTGCCACCGTAGCAGAGTTCTGAACTACTTCTTCATGGTTTGTATAGACATCGTCATGATATGAAATTCCTTTAACTCTGTAGTAGACGACTTGAATTTGCAGTACTTTATACTTAAAACACCATAAAATTATGAGAAAAGCTGCCTATTTTTAAAGATATGTCCCCAATGAGGACACTTGTTAGACGGTTACTTCTTTAATATTGTATAAAACTGGGGTGTTTTTAGATCTTTCATAATAATTTTGAATGCTTAGGAACAATAAATATTTTAGCGTGTAATTAAGTGATCAATTTGCCTGAAGTTGATTTATAAGTGATAGGTTAGCTTGTATCAGTCGATATATTTATTCCATTGTCTGTATATCGTTAACGTTGGGTTTGTACAATGTAAAAGGGCTTAGCGTCCAATTTGACTGTCCGTTTGAATGACTATAACGTGATAACACATCCCTAACCACACCAGTCATCCAAAAAATACTCCTCTCAGGGGGTACAATAGGCCATTTTACAGTTACAGGTGGAAACGAGGCTGGAGTTGACCTTGTTTTGATACAACCCTTCCTGCTTTATTATGTAAATCATGTTTTTCTTTTGCAAACTGGTATTTTTGAAGCATAATTTCCATAAGAAAAGGTCTTTGTATCAAAACAAGGTCAACCTTAGCCTCACGTTCACTCAAAGGCTGAGATGCTAAGCTCACAACTGTAAAATGGTCTATTTTGAACCTATTCAACAAAGAACGAATAAATTTTACGTAATTGACTTTTTGTTGTTACTGGAGCATTTTAGTATACAGAAACTAAAGAGAATTACCCCCAACGTCAACTGCAAAACGTAGCTTTTTGGGCAACCGATTTTTTAACCGTGACATAGATACTGTTTCTCTGCTTATAAGAAGACGTGTTACGTTTTAAACGGAAATCAGCAAAGAAGTTATAAGTTGCAGTGACTGAACAGGATATCAAACTATTTCTGTTGAGAAATGTTATGCAGACTTCTGTAATAATCAAGGCTTAGGTCCAGGATTCAACGCTAATGAGATGACTATCCTTATGATGGCCGTCATACAGTATCCTTGTGAAGAGAGGTTTACTAGAATACCTAGAATTTTGTCAAATATGAAGTAATATGAATGTGACGAACAACCCAGTCAAATAGGAAGTAATGAGAAAAGAATATCGTTCAATCCACAACGTAAGTGATGATTTCAATTGTAAAGGAAAGTATACTTGAATGTACTTCTGGCCTCAGTTGTTCACTAAACACGGAAAGCATTATCCAGTGGATAGTGATATATCCAGTGGAAAGCGCCATCCATCGTTCGAACAACCAGGGCCAGGAGAGCTTACAGAAGTCTGGATTATACCCAAAAATAAAAACCAGGATTTTGTCAATGATGGATGGTCATTCCTCTTCAAGTTTCTGTCTCATTGTAAGAGATTATTTTCACCGTTTTTAGAATTTGCGAGATCTCTTTTGGAAAAATTGGAACAGCTAGATCCGATATTTTATGTTGGCTGTTGAGATGCTTTTGAGCTTGCTGTGTAGATATTGTAAGGGGTTTTTATAGCCATAATTGTGGTCCAATTAACAATTTCCTTTGTCACAAATACGAGTATATTCCTTGGCAACATGACGTATTTTCCCGAAGGAATTTTTTATTCATTTTGAGCTGAAAACAACAAAAAAATATGTGACGGCTTCGCACGTATGTTGCAAATAAGCCCTCCCTAAGATGTAAAATTATACCAAATGCTATATTTCAAGGGAATTTGGTGAGATTGATTCAGTGTTTCTAATGAGATTAATAGTAAGTGTTAATAACATATCGCAGCTAATTAAATATAATTGCTCGGTAAATTATATAGGAGTGTATGATACTAGTATTAATAAACATTGATCATTGAAAAATTGTACTCTCGTATAATTTTACTGACTTGCTTTCAATTACATGGCGGATGTTTTATAAGTTTTTAGTTAACCGGTGGCTCTGCAGCACCTATTAGATATTAAACAGTTGTAAATTGTAAAGAAGGAAGACCTATTTTAGCTCCAACTGTTTGTTTTTACATAAACATTTGTACATGCATCTTAACACAAATAAAGATTCTGTTGTCTATTGGCTGTTAGTTACTTGCAATTTCAGCAAAATAAGAACGCTCTTAAAGGCGTGAAGTCTTGCTTGCCTGGAGATTAGAATAGAGGTAAGAATCGCCGAAAGGCGATTTCAAAGGCTGCCAAGGGGCGATTTGATCTGAGGGGAGGGGGCGGCTGTACGCACTCACACTACCATAAAACCTTGTCGCCGACCATTGCGTGACATAGAATCTCTTGTGAGAGTGAGACATAAACTCGTTTGAACATTGTACCCTTTTGGAAGACTTTCGTAACAAGAAAAATGAGTACCATTTTTTAAGTCGGGGCTGTATAGTAACTTTTAAATTCCACCATTATGATTAAAAATAAGCGAGTCAGCCAATCTAACGATTAGCATTATTTTCACGCACCCCTCCCCCAATCCCTCTGCCCCCTAAAATATAGCGTGACAGTATAACGTCACTATTTTGACCTAACCGGAAATTCCAAAAAATTATTGTTGTTCTACGGGTCATAAAACGCGACAGTCAGCTATGCTGTTGACAAGCTGTACATTTGTCAATTCTGGTTCTTAAAACTAACAAAGCAAATTACATTTCAGTGTTGATTTTGTCTAATATTGCACTTTTGTAACTGTTCTTAAGGAACCGCTTTTGGATGGACACCCGCGCGAAGGGGGAAAGTTCCCGCGTGCAAGATAGACGAGGCATGGTCTCATCCCGGGTTACTCACGAACGATACTTTGTCGCCAACTAGTGAGACAGGCGAAACATTTTTTATCCCGGTTCTACTCACGGATGATACTTTGTCATTAAGACACCCAGTTAATGTACAAGCACAGAGGGAAAAATAAGAAGGGACGCCCTCCGAGCTGCTAGAGCTGGGCACACGATCCCACTTGTAAGTTGGGTTAGACAATAAAAAAGAGAGAGACTGGAGACGAGTGTGATTTTAGGACCAAGGGGGAAGACTGGGCACGGGAGTGCGAAAACGAGGCTTTTCCGGTGAAAGGCGTGACACTTTCAGTCACGATGACGTCTTTTCTGGTGGAGATGCACGTCACTTCCTGTCACGGTGAAGTGACTTCCGGTACTGACTTAGAGGACCCCGATGATGTCACTCAATTCCCTAAGGGATCGGCTACCTGACTACGGGACCGGGCGCTGATTGGTGGGTCGGGGGTGACGTCACCAGCTTCCTAAATGATTGACAGGTCATGTGATAAAATTCTGCAATTCTAAAATTGGTCACGTATGCGAAATTCGGCTCTCTGATTGGTCTGCTCTGAAGTGTCCCCCTTTACTACTTTTGACGTTGACTATCCACACTTTATTTCAACCTTTCATTCATTCATTACACTTCGATTACGTGAACAATGGTGCTTGCAAGAACATCCATTCACAACGTCTTTTGAAAACAAAAGATTCTCACGTTTTTTTTCAAATGGACCACTAAAATTCAAAGTTCAACTATGCAACCATTGAAAACTTACCGTTTGAACTTACCTGACCTCCAAGGAAACAGCCCTCAAATTCATGAATGTTGTAATAATAATAAAAATAATAATAATATATAATTATAATATTAACAATAATAATGATAATACTAAAATCGTCCTCTCCCCTTCTGGCTCTTTTCAGGGATAATGAAACGGTGGCAAAAGTTGTTTCTCTTATACAAATCCTTCTAATTTTCCTCTGCCGTTGCAATCACTACGTACTTTTAAGCTCATGCTAACTGTTTTTGTGTTTTCCGAAGGTTGAGCACGTGATCAATTAATGCAAAGGGCCTAATTAAATGGCAGGAGGGGAACCAGTTGTCTAGCTAGCTAGCGGTCAGAGAAGGACGTAAAATCGGGGCTTCCGAATTACAATTCCAGAGCTATAACCACTCTGCCACGCTGGTCCGTTTGCAAACAAAACCTTTAGGATGTTTTGTTTTCAAAAAAAATGTGATTGAATAATCTTTCAAGATCCCGGTTTGAGTGGTCGCACTATAACAATGATATTGTTTTAACAAGTTGGTTTTGACTGATTGAATATTTCCGCGACATAAATATGCATTTATATAAAGTTCCGCTGACAACCCCACCAAGAATACGACTGCGGGCTCGCATTTTGCTTGCCCTGGTAGATTCTGTTCTAATTTACTCTATACAAAGACATCAAACAACGGCAAACGGACATTGGACATTAGAAATCGGACATCAGACACCGCACATCAGACAACAGCCGGACGCAGGGCATCAGACAGCGGAATTCAGGCATCACAGATCTGACATCAAACATCGCACATCCGGACATAAGACACCGAACATCATACATCACACATCGGATATCAAACATGCACATCGAACATCGGACATGAGACATCGGGTATCTGACATCAGTCATCAAAAATCGCGGATATCATACATCTGAAATCGGACATCAGACATCGGATATCATACATCACTTATCGGACATCGGACATCAGATATTATAGAGTGGAAATCAGACAGCGGACATCGGAAATCACACATCGAGCATCGGACATCAGGAAACAGACATTGCACATCAGACATCGGATACCGGACAATATAGCCCCGTGGTATAAATAGCTGTGATCAATTTAATTAGTGACTTTTATCTTTTTTAGTAGGCTACGTATTCAAATCTCACATTGTGTAATTATTTTGATTTTTTTTTAATATTTGTAACTCCCGTTGAAGGTTTGTGTTGCCAACCGATATATCGGACAAATATAATTCACCAGTTATTGTTGTTTTCCTTCTTTATTTTTTCGCTTACTCTTCTTGCCATAAGGATGAGTTTACTTTTTTTATAATTTAGTATAATTTGAAAATTTTACTGATCTTGGTCTACTAAAGATCCAGCTGACCCTCACTGGTTTATTGCTGTGGTTTTGCCTTCACGAGTGTTTTTGATTAAAATGAAAACATGCACTTGTGGCATCGCCTTTAACATGTTTATCTCAGAGTGTATAATTCTTTTCCCAACTTTGGCGCACCTTAAAAGTTACCCGGTCAATCTGGAAAACTAAGACTCGATCATAAAAAGTAAGGAAGTTGCTGAAACATTGGGCCACTTGTCAAGTGGTGCCGGAAAAAAAAACAACCCCATATGGCTTTCAGTGAGTATTATAGTTTTCCTTTATAGAGCGTTTTCACTCACGTGACCAGGATCTATACAAATTTATTGAAACAAAAGGACGCGTTTACATAAGAAAAGAGTTCAACTCCTACATGAATGGTCTGGAACACCAACATGGTCGCCGTCTTATTGTTTTGGAACACCAATATGGCCGCCGTGACGTCATGCGAAAACGCCCTATAACAGTGAGGAGGTATCGGATCGCTACTACATGTACAGCTATTTCGAGAAAGGTTGTTGGGAAAAGTGCACGCGACAATCCTGAAAGGCATTGTGGGTGGTTTTGAGTTCTCTTTTTTACGCAGAAATTTGAAAGAATTGGCACGAAAGGCCATGGAATTGTGTTTGCGAGTGCTAAAGGAAAGCAACAAAAGTAGGTTCGACAGCTACAGTCTTCAGAAACAGTTTATTCATCATATCCCATATTACCTTTCGGGATTGTCGCGTGCACATTTTTTCCGACAACCTTTCTCGAAATAGCTGTCTACAATAAAGATGGAACGTTGACTAATATAAACAATACCAACAACAGCAAAGAGATAATGATGATGAGATGGTGGCGTAGATTTATAGACAAAAAGACACTGGATGAGTTGTTAACCAATCAGATAAGGGCTGGTGTCTTGGTCCAACCAATTGAAAACGGCTCCATTTTAATGAATATTCAATACTCAATGCGTAAAGCCAAACTTGCTAGAACAATACCATTGTTAAATAGTTTTGTGTTTAAATGAATTGAAAGGCTGACTTTATAATAAAAATGGAAAACCTAACCTCCTTATTTTTTTTTTTAATTTGTGCCGATTAAGTCAAGGATTTCAGGACGTTTGGTGGGACACGTGACGGTGGTGTACGTATACTAAGTGGAATTCTCACTGTAGCGAGATTTAGAATACTCAGCTGTCGAATCAGTCAAACCCCCATTAAATTTAGTTTTTAATCAAGGTTACGTTCATGGGGTGAATGAATTCTTTTAGATATGTACATAAAATTTAGTTGCTTCCATGGTGTTCAATACAAGTTAGAAGAACTGAAGGAGAGAAGCACCATGGCCACTATCTTCACGCTTGCTCCGTCAAATAGAATGCCCAAGCTGTCTAAATTGGTTCACATATCTCTGTTTTCCAAGAAAATGTATGCTTATAACTGATAGCGAAGACGATGATTTACACAATGTTTTTTTTAGCTTAATGAAACACAGTTTCTTACAAAAGACAAAGTGGCGTGTTCATTGAACACAACTACTGAACGCTCTTCTAAGTTCTTTTTTTCTTATAACATACAGGACAGGATTTATACAAGAGTTAAGGTACACCGGTGTAAAGACCCAAGTATAAAAAAGGCTAAACAGCTGAGGAAAAAATGGTCGGAAAATAAGGTGCATCACCATCACAGGACCGAGGCAAATCAAAAGTGCAATAATAACAATAAACATATCCACAGCCACTTTCTTTTCTCGCTTAAATATTATACTCAGCTGCTGGTGGTCTTCCATTGCGTCTTGCACTTGCTTGTTTTGGCGTCGGATAGCAAAATATATCTTAATGTGACACATGATGGGGAGAATGATA